AAGCGCCGGAGATTTAAATGAGCTCAATGCTGATCTCAAACTCCTTAAAATGAAAGAAAAGTAAAGCGATTACCGCATGGTACTTCCCCCAAACTCCCGTATAGCCAAACTCTGACACAGAATAAACGTCTCCGCTAACTCTGACTGTTGTCATTTGTGTAACGTGAAATGCTTAGGAAACTACTTTTTTTTCATATGTTTAAAGATATATTTCATATTATTTCAAAGGATAATTAAGGAAAACAGTCAAATAACTTTATTAGTTATATAGAAGCAGTAGTTTAAGCATACCACTGATTTCTAGTCGTGTCCTCTTTTGGAAGGCCAAACAAAGTAGCTTCGCTTTCACAATGAAACACACAGCGCCTTCAAGACATAGCGGCGGCGGCAACAACAATACTACAGCTAGAATAAAAGTTACACCTTCTTTCTTTGCATGAATATTTGGGCCGCGTTATGCAAATCTTCCCACATAGTGACGTAGACATGTGGGGGCGTGTTAGAACGAGGCGTTTTAGGTAGGCATGGCTGACTCTTAACTTTTATAAAGAATATCTCTTTGGATTTGAGACTTTAGTCTTTGCAACTTTACAGATCTTCTTTATGCACCAAGAGCTTGTAACACTCCAAAGAGAAAGGAAAAATTGAAATCGCATCATATGACCCCTTTAAAGCAAAGCAAGTAGCAATTACTAACTTCTACTAAAAAGTACTTACTAACTTTGACAGTATCCACCCCTTTTTAACTCATGTTTTTCTCAACACACAGCAGATCATTAGATCATATTAAGATCATGTTAGGTACATCATATTAAAGCTAACAAATTTTTCCTAAAGGAGTTATTTCAGCTTTTCTGTTTAGTTTAGCAGAGGAGCTTGCATAATATAATAATGATGAGTCATTAATGCGAATGTGTTATTCTGATCTGTTGCTAAAACATATATATATATATATATATCTGTTTAATTTCTATTATATTTGTTAAACATGAAAGATCAATGGTGTCATTTATTATTTTTATTATTATTACTTTGGCTGTTCTACTGTAAGAACAATTTATGGTGCAGCATATTGGTCAAGGGGTATTGTTTTCATAAGTAAAGACTTATTTTGGACCCTAGATGGCGCCACTAGAATTTTTAATTGAATTTTCATTGTTCCGAATTTTCAGAGCTTTTTTTTTTTTTCCTGGATCTGAGCAAACCAGTCTGTCTGTCTCAGATCAGATCACAGACGTAAATACCTCAATTTTGACAAAATGTGTAGTTATGCTACTTTTGCATTTTGAACAGCAGCAGCACTGTTATGTTATTGAAAAAGTAGTTTGTAAGCAGTGTTGATGAAAACTTAAGAAATGAACAATCATTGAACATCTGCTTGACACCTAAAATATTACAGCAGCATAGATGTACATAGCCTACATTTATTTTTAAGATGCCTTCCAGTAATTGACAGACAAAACCAGGATGTATTCTTTCAAGAACAGTTCTTCTTAGAAGTAACTTCTGCATCTCTTGCTAGTGCTGGAAATAACTACTGAAACTAACAGTTTCATTCTAAACTCCAGGTAAACAGAATCCAGGGTTATCTTGTTTCACATTTCACAGTGTTTATCATGGGTTGGCTGCTGTTTTTGCTTATTTTATCTAATTGTTACAACTTACTGGCAGTTGGGTAGATTGTAACAAAGGCACTCCATGTATTTTACATCAACTTATAAGGGCTTGCTTATTTTATCTAATTGTTACAACTTACTGGCAGTGGGGTAGATTGTAACAAAGGCACTCCATGTATTTTACATCAACTTATAAGGGCTGTGATATTCTTACAAATGTGGGTGCTTTGTATAAAAGTTCAGCGAGTTAAAGATGCTGAAACAAAAACTGCATAACAGGACTCCAAATTCTGAATTCAATTTGGAGTGAGAATTTCTATTTATTGGGGGGGGTTTGTATTTTGTA